ACTTTCAGTCCATGTCAGTAAACATCCAGAAAAAATCTAGAGATGAAGTAGGTTATCTTGATTATCTAGCTCTTTTTTGAAGCCAGTCTGAATGAGGCATGCAGACTGCAGAATTTTCTGTATAATGTGAAATCATCGGGCAAGCCCACGTTTTAGCACTGTGACCAGTACATCATTAGACAAGTCCATCCTTTTTGCCATTTATCTACTCTGCAACTTTAATGAAAGAGTATCCTTTATTTTGTTGTCAAGTAACAACTATGATGCTTATCATAAATCAATCAGGATATATTGCAGAATTGTTTTTATTTTCCCTTTGACATTAGATGGATGAGGATAGTCAGTTTTGTTTTTCTCTGATTGAAGACTGTGCCATGTAGTATATTCTTTACATTTACTCCAGATAAAATAAATTTATGGTCATATCAGTTTGTCTCCCATAGTTCAGTATTATTAATTACAGTGAGAAAGATAATAATAGGAAAAGTATTTTACTATTGGCAGGAGGTAATATTTTGAATTATTTTCTTAGGAAGTAGGTGTTGATAAATATACACTGTTGGTTTTTTTGCTTCATTAATCATAAGTAAAACATGAGTTATAACTTCAAATGTATTTTTTCATCATATACCTAGGCTTAAATTAGTGACCAAAATTGAAATAAATTGTTCAATAAATTAAATGTCAGTGAACCTAAAATAGAAAAAAAATTGGCACAAATGTTATTTAAAAAGTTTGTTTTTATAGGGTTCCATTTGTTTGAACTGGTACATGTTTGGGATGTGATTTTTAATTTATTTTTTAATATAAGTTAAAGCTTTCTTCCATATTACGCATTTGATAATTGAGTAATATATATCATTCTAAAATTCTAAACTTTTGAAATTTATTTTGTTATTTTACTAATTTGTGTTTGTAATTTTTACTAAAGAAAACAGCATTATGATAGTGAAGGATTAGTTTCTCCATGAAATTATGAAGATAAACTTGGTTTTGGTTGAAAGATTATTTGGTTGAAAAATTATGAAGATACACTTTGGTTTTGACTTGAACCCCTGTCTCTCTCTCCCTTGCCTCCAAATAAAAGCTTTAAAAATGGTTGTACAGTAAGAAAAGCAATGTTATGGCATTTATTTGACCAAAATGTATGAAGCAATTCCAAGTTACCCCAGTTCAGGACTACTGCAAGAAAGGGATTTGAAGAAGAGAGGCAGAGATGATATGAAAAGACACTGATCTTGTACAAAAGTTTTAACTCCTTTAATTCTACTAGTGTAGTGGTTCTCAATGTTTTTAAACATGAGCCACCCCTTGAAAAATGCCAGCTTTTAGTTTTTATTTGTTTTTGGACTATAGAAAAATACTACAGCTATTCTTTTGTTGCAAAGAATGAAGATAAACTACATCAGTGTGTTTTTAACACTCTGGATTCCTGTTTGAAATTTTTGGGTTTATCATATGAGTCACTTTTGCATACCTCACAGTGTTAAAATTGTGTGGCACCCCACGGCACCCCTGAAAGGATCTCAAGGCATCCAAGGGTGTTCCAGAACCCTGGTTGAGGATCACTGTACTAGTGGTATAACCCTCCTGTTGCAGATGTGATTATACTGATGCAAAAATGCTTATAACAATATAAGTGACTTCCCTTTCCATCTAAATGGAACCATATTGCCACTAGGGGCTTGAGCAGTAGCCCTAGCCAGACATTTTATATAAATATATATGTGTGGTTATGTATAAGTAGGTCTGTATAATTTAACTAAAAAGACTGACAAAAAGCAGTTGAAGGATATAGATAATCACAGTGGTTCTCAACTATTTTAGATTCCATAACTTTTGTGAATTGATTGGGAGTCCATTTTAAAAACAGTGCTATTACAGTGCTTACCTCCTCGCAGAGTGTCTGCATAGTGGGAATGGAGGACCAGCCAGGCAGGAAACAGCCTGAACCTGTGCTTGTCTGTCTTTCTCCTCACACCCAGCTTATCTCTTTAAAACTTGCAGCACCCTTCAGAAGAACTCGTAGCTTCCCTAGGTGTCTTGGCACCTTGAATGAGAATCACTGGACTACAGCAATAAAATAGATTTGTTTGGAGTAATCAAAGTCAGTGTAATAGTGATCTAGAAATAAGAAATGGTAGGAAGATTGAGCCTGGATGTTAATAGGGATGGCTTAAATAATAAATACCCATAAGAGAAGAAGAGAAATTCCATTTCTGGCATTATTAAAACTTTCGGAGTGGTCAAAGCACGTGTGGTAACCCTTTATTAAATGATATAACTATCTATTCTATTTTAAGCAGTGCTACTTGTTTGACACTCTTCACTATAAGTGTTCAGATAAGGACTGGGGTGGCACTAAGGTGCATGGTTAATAGCTCAGAGGTTGCAAGTTCGGGGTCATAGCAGAAGCACTCACAGAATGGCCCTGCTAGATTCAATGAATCTGCAAATTCCACTAAATACCTTATCACAAAGACACAAAAAAGAAAAGGAAGTGCTGAGATGCAAGATCCCAGAAAGGAGGCACTGGGATAGGGACCAGGATGACTTCACAGCAGCAAGGGCAGAATGATCTGTGATTATCTTCTCCACAGATCCCGGTACTGAACCCGTTGTTAGTGAGCCCCAACATGTTGTTACCACCTAGCAAACAGCAGTGAAACCTACTAGCAAATTGTGCCTCATTCCCTGTAGTAGCAGGGCCATGTAAAAGACAGTTGTTTCATTATAACTTTTTTTCCTTTTTCACCTAAAAGTTCAAACTTCAACAAATCTCCAAGCTTTGGGGTTAAGATCAGACAACGTTGTTAGCACTTGAAGAGAGGCTTAGAGCAGCAGAGTTTAAACCCCAGCTTTTGCACTGCGATAATTTAGCTGAAAAAATGCCATAAAGGATGAGAATACTACTAAGGTATAAAAAAAAGAAATAGGGGTCAGAAATGTTATGTTGAAAAAGGAGACAAGATATTTTGCCTAAAACAAAGAAAGATAAAAACAAAACACACAGACTCCTGAAACCTGCAGCCAAAGTCCATGGTAAAGCCCCTGACAGATGTTATTTTTGCTGAGCTACAACATTTGTACCAGGACAAAAAAATTAAAACACGGGCAGCCACATGTTCAAATCCCAAAGCTGGAGCTGCACAAAGGCGTGCTCTCCAGGCAGGACCAAAAGAAGGCTGCTCCGTAGCTCCTTCTGCACTCAGTGGAGCTTGTCAATGAGCCAGACCAGCTCACTGAGAGGTTTGTGAGCCCTTTAAATCCCCCAGCACTTCTGCATCCTGGGATCCTTGAGTGCCACTGCTTTGTGCAGTGATGCTGGGTTGCAGGTACCTGGAACTTTAAGGAGCCTTTAGTCCAGGATGCTTGAGGTGTCCCTGGGGAGAGATCAAGCCCTAGTGGAATGCCCCCCACCTGAGCCAATCAGCTAGTCATTCTGGTGCTATGCAAGGGACGAGGGGCATTCCCTTTACCCCAAACTAGGGTGATCATGACTCGCCAGCCTCAGACTCAGGTAGCAGCTAGGGTTGTCAGCACCACCTCAGTTTGCCCATAAGGATAGGGGCTGGAAACCTTGCCCCCTCCTCCATGCAGGAAACTCTGTTGGCAGAGGCAGTGGAAAAAGTCATATCGCTTGATATTAACATGTCACATGTTCAGATTAAATCAAGATACAAAGAAGCCAGAAAGATGTTCCACATTTAATGAGGATAATTCTTGAGTGTGGTTTGCCATTTTTCTGGCTGGTTCACTGTTTTATCACTTGATAAATTACTTGAAAGTGTGATATGTTACAATTTATCATGGACTTAACACTTCAATAGTTCAATTGCATGATAAATTCAATGTCTGCCAGCAGACTCATTCTTCGAAGTCCTTTCCAACATCCTTTGTTGCCATTCCTCTAATCATAAAGTTATTTCCCATAATTTGTTGCCAAACTTTGCTACTTTCTGTAACATTTGTCCCTTCCCTCAGGGTAGAAAGTCTGTGGGCAGTCTGATCATCCCCCCAACCATCAGAATGCACAGACAGTTAAATCATTCACTTTCTACTGTGAACTCTGCCTTCCATAAACATATTCAAACCATTCATTCTCAAGCTGTCCCAACTGCATACTATACGCTCAGATCTTGTCTTGTATTACTTCTCACTGGAAAGGCATCCTGCATGCTCTTTCTCCCTTTGAAAGTCCCTTAAAATACCAGTTCTGTGATTCCAATCTGCATTTCTTCCCAAGTCCTCTCCAACACAAACTACAAATTTCTTCTACACTGTCCAATTGAAAAATAGTTGGTTGCTGAAACTTCTACCACTTCGAGTCTCTGTTGTGTGCACATACAGTACACAGCTCTGTATGTTCTGAACAAAATTAAAACTTGCAACCCTTTATTGTGATCATCTTTCATTAATGGTATTTGCTGTACTTGGCTTAGAAGCCTGCATTGTATTTCTTCTCCCTACCTGTCTGTCAGTTTGTTTCTTTAAGCTGTTTAGGTACCCATCATCATGGTATTCAGACACTGTCATTTCTTCCAGGTGGTTTGCTGTTGTCCCCTCTCTGGGTCAACTGTAACCAAATTCCTGTTTTAAGTTGGTTGTTCATCCTCAATACAACATTATTTCTGTAAAGGACTGCTATTGTTCCCTTATCCAGTGGTCTTGAGAGGTATGAATGAGGGCATTAATCTCTAGAAGATAGGTGAATGAGTTTCAGCAGCACTGAAAGTCAAGTTGGAACATGCAGCAGATACTCAGTGCGCTTACTGAAAAAATAAAAGTCCTGTACTATAATACATTTTTATTCTTCAACTGTTGATATGCGATGTTGTCCTGAAACTGAAACATTTACAGCCATTCAAATCATGGTACAGGTTTTGCATTTGCTTCACAGAACTATTTTACATTAAAATCCATGCATGCAAAATTGATGTATTCATACACATTTCTCAGTGTGAGAGGTTACACATTTCTTTCCATTCATATTCTTCCAGGTGACTTGGATTATTACTGGCTGGATCCTGCCACGTGGCACAGTAGGGAGACATCCCCTATTAGTTCGGTAAGAAATAGGAAATCTAGGTTTATAGGCACGGATTAAAATATTAAAATGTTTGTCACATTTCATTTCAGTGAGATGAACTGGTTATTGCTACTAGAACTTTGTTCTAAACAAATCCTGTGAACATTTGTTTAGAAGATTATAAGACTCAAACTGAATAAAAAAATGTCTCTCTTGTCTATATGAGAAAAACAATTTAAGCATTTTTTTGGGATAGAGATTTTTCTCAGACAAAGTTTTGTATTTTAGTCCTGTGGACTATCACTTACACATCAAAAAAAGACAAGTCTGATCCTGCTGGAAAGGGCATCAGTTAATTTTTTTATCCTTGGCACTAATAGAAGCAGGATCATTAGTTGCTTACTGAATAATGAATGTATGCAAAAGGACTGAATAACATAAATATTACTCACCAGGACTGTTACTTTTAAAAGGGATTTTCAAATCAGTGTAATATAGAATACTTTTTTTTATTCACTGAAATATGTTTTAATTGCATTAAAATTCAAATGACCTCATTAGGATGATTTTACAGTGGCACAAGATAATTATAAATATTTTATGAAGCAAGAGCCAACTGACACAGCATTGTAACAGACAGAATTTTGTTCAGTTTTTAAATAAAAAATGGATTGCATTTATCTCTACTGTCACATGATCATTCATCTGAAAATATATCTGTGTCTGTAAACCAAGAAGAGATTTCCATTCTTTGCTTCCAATGATATTTTTAATAGCATCCTGTAACGTGGCAACCATCTAAAGAAGGAGATCGCTTAATTGGACGTGTTATTCTTAACAAGAGAACAACTATGCCAAAAGAGTCAGGTGCATTACTTGGACTAAAAGTAAGTATTACAAAGTTATGCTCTAAATCAGTTAATTTCCATTAGGCTAACATACAGCAGCTTAGTTCACTGTAACAATTAGCTATATGAGAATTTTGTAGCACTGTTGCATAATTGTTTCTGAAACAAAAGGAATACATTTTTACATGATATATTGGAAAGAACCCTGAACTGATAAATGTTTATCAAACAATAGTATTATCTATAATAATTTTAATATAAAAGCCTTAATCTGTCTTTCTATCTGTCTATAATGCTTTATTCGCATTCTGATTGGCTGACTGAAACATCCAATCAGAGTGTGAACACAGCATTGGGACAGGAGGCAGTAGCATGGTGAATTACCACCATGATTCTGGGGACACAGGGGATGGAGACGGGGATGAGGCCAGGGGTAGAGGGGTCGGGACATCGTGGGGAGTGGGCAAAGGCCACTGGTGCTGGCCTCGGCCTGCCCCTCTACCCTTCTGTCATCACCACCTGCAGGGCTGACACGGGTCAACAAGGCAATGGTGGGAGGAGTGGGCCCAATGTGAGGGGAAGAAGTGGCCATGCTGTGGCAGCAGGCGGGGAAAGAATGGGCCCAGGCCAACGTGGCAGTGGTGGGAGGAGGGGAGGAGTGGGCCCAAGGGGGTTGGAAAAGCTGGCCTGCCATGGTGGTGGGGGGAGCAGCAGGCCTGGCCCAATGTAGGCCAGGGCTCACTTCTCTACTACCCCTCCTCCCCCTGCGTTGGCCCCAAACCTGC